GCTCAGTGCCTCAATGGCCTTTGGGCAGTGAGTGCCCAAAGCTGAGCACAGCACTGAGCTGGGACCTCCCCAGTGCCCAGTGCAGGGGGATGAGCACTGCCCTAGTGCTGCTGCCACACTCTGCTGAGCCAGGCTGAGGTGCCCTTGGCCTCATTGGCCACCTGTGTCCACCAGATATAAACAAGAGCTGAAAACATCTGCAAAACCTTTCATGCAGTTAGAGACAACATATCACTGCCAAAGAAGTTGAAATAGAAGGAACAGAACCATGGATAGTGCCTTAAAACTGTCCTTGAACAGGAAAAGCTCAATAGATCAGCCATGCCTGCTACTTAATGGGTTGTGATGGCTGAAAACCAGTCTGGAAAGACAACTCATTTGTTTACACTAATAAATAATAACATCCAGTCACCATCAAAGCATGCAGACATCACTTCTGGTGAGCCACTGAAACGCTGCTCACTGTGCCCATTCTTCTTCAATAACGCTGATTTGATGGGAAGAAAACATGCCAAAGCTCCCAGTGATGTCTCCTCAGAAAGTCACAACTCAGTGACTTCATGCGTGGGATACACAGCACAGGCAATGGGGTAATTAGCTCCAGCAAGTCATTATCCTGCAAAACAGTGGCACACTCTGAACTTTTAAGGGGTGTTTTTCTTGCTGGATTTTCAACCACTGGAGCTTGGCCAGAAAACTATCACACACATCATCTGCACAACACTGAGATAAAAAACAGTGGTTGAAGGAAAAAATCAATTTTGCAGCCATGTCATAGTACCAGAGTATGTGAAGGGGTTAGAATGGAAATTGGAGATCATCCAGTGTCAACCCCTGCCCTGGGCAGGGACACCTCCCACCAGAGCAGGTTGCTCAAGGTTCATCCAACCTGGAATGAAACACTGCCAGGGTTGGGGCAGCCACAGCCTCCCTGGGCAACCTGGGCCAGTGTCTCACCACCCTCACAGCAAAAACTTCTGCCTGATATCTAATCTCAATTTCCCTCTTTCCATTTCTCCCCATTGCTCCTTGTCCTGTCCCTGCAGCTCCTACCCAAGAGTCTCTCTGCAGCTTCCCTGGAGCCCCTTCAGCTCCTGGCAGGTTGCTCTGAGCTCTCCACACAACCTTGTCTGTCCTGGGCAGGGACAGGAGTTGGATCAATGACCCCTGTGTGTCCCTTCCAGCTCTGAATACCCTGTGACTTTTAAGGCCAGTGGGAGCAGTGCCCACCTGGGTGCAAGTATTTCTCCCCTCTCCACACACCACAGAGGCACAGGCTGTAAGAAGCTGTCGAGGCACTTGTAGCCTAATTTAGGATCGATTTAAGCAATTACAGCCTCAAGTTTAATGCAGAATAATTTGGAGACAAATGAGTTTCACGGTTGTTCACTCACTCCGAACAGGAAAAGGGTTGACAATATTTCACATTTAAGCATGAGGGAATGGAAAACAAGTCTGTTCTCCCAGGCAAATGGAATATTTACTGAAGGCAATTTTTAAAAGGAATAATCTTTAGAGAAATGGATGATTCATCTGTGAGGACATGATGGCAGAGGATGCTAGAAAACCTCTTATCTAGCAACTAATTCAGCTCAAACATGTGCTGATAGTTATCCCCAAGCAGCTATTATCAGCCTGTGCAGTGGGGACTGATAAACCCTTGAGTCATGTTCAAATCACAGTCAGCTCCTGCTGCAGCAGCTTCAGAGAGATCCTCAGGATAGCACAGGGTGGGATGGGGGAACCACAAACCCCTCCAGGAATGACACAGGACAGGAAAAAGCTGGGAGAGAGGAGCCAGGCAAATTCCCTCACTGCTCACTACATTTCCATCCTACCCAGGAGGGCAAAGATTTCCAGGCTCCAGCAGTGTCCATGCAGGAACAGCCTTTTTTTTTTCTTTTTCTTTTTTTTTCTTTTAATGGAAAATCAATAACATTATTTTAGGGAGCTCTTTGGATGACTTGGTTCAAAGCAGCAGCAATTTTTCTTCTCTCTCACAAAATTACCCCTCTATAATGTCAGGAAAAACAGAACTTCTGCCCATGGACAGGTGGACCAGGAATAATTCCAGTTCAAAATGATTTCCATCCATCATGAGGAACAAATTATAGGAGCAGGATGAGAAAATTCCAAGCCATTCTGAACTCTTCCAAGCCCTTAACAAACTTTAAGGAGATATGCTGATATTATACAACACATTTTCATGGCTACAAATGGAGCCACAATCCACAAAAAATACATTACTGCATCAAGAACCCAAACCAAATGTCTGAGGTTAACAACCTCCATGGTCCTGTCCCAGAGTTTCCACGTTCATATGAGTGTGAAGGATTTTTGGGTGTCAGTGAGGTCAGATGCCTGTGCAGGATGAGTTTGGGATCTCACTCAGTGTAAGTCTCATATGAGAGGAGAGAAAAAAGACAAAAAATACCAAGTACAACACAGAATCCCAGAGTGGTTTGGGTTAGAGAGGACCTTAAAGATCATCTAATTCCAACACCATGCCCTGGGCAGGGACACCTCCCACCAGCCCAGGCTGCTCCAAGCTCCATCCAACCTGGCCTAGAACACTCCCAGGGATGGAGCAGCCACAGCTGCTCTGGGCACCCTGTGCCAGTTCCTCAGCACCTCCCAGCCAGGAATTCCTTCCCAATATCCCACCTAAATCTTCACTTTTCCAATGTAAAGCCATTCCCTGTGTCCTGTCCCTCCAGGCCTTGTCCCAAATCCCGCTCAGCTCTCCTGGAGCCCCCTGAGGCACTGGAAGGGGCTCTGAGGTCTCCCTGGAGCTTCTCTTCTCCAGGTGAACACCCCCAGCTCTCCCAGCCTGGCTCCAGGGCAGAGCTGCTCCAGCCCTTGGAGCATCTCCATGGCTCCTCTGGACCTGCTTGAGCAGGTCCATGTCCTTCCTCCTTGGATACAGAGCCAGGACACAGCTAGACATGGCCAGGAAGGGATGCAGTGACAGGTCACAGCTCCTACCTGCAGCAGAGGCCGTTGCACCCCAAGGATCTTCATGGTATCTGCATTAGCCAAAATCTTCAGGGGATCAGATGCCTTTGTGACACCTTCAATCTCTTTGTTGATCTCAGCCAGGACCTGGTTGAGGAAGATGTTCTTGATGTACATGGTGAGGAACTCACGCAGGGGACACTGCTTGGCTGGGCCAAGCTCCATGGCATACTCTATCTCCTGGATAAACCTGGAAAACAGAAGGGCAGAAATGTGTTGTAGGAAAACCATGTAAGAACTCTCAATGTGCTGCTGCTGACTTTGCCACTCCTGCAGCTCAGAGCTGAGCAGCAGCAGTGGGGAATGACTAGGGACTGTGTCCATGTGAGGCAGGAAGAGGAGAAAACATCTATAAAAGGAGAAAACATTTATAAGGTAGTCTTAAAAAAATAGATAAAATCCCAAGTCTGGTGAGACAAAGACTCAATTGCTGGAGAAGAACATATAAAATGGAGAGAAAATTCACAGCTCAGGCACAATTCATGTTTATTTGCCCAACAAATCACTGACTGCTCCATTTGAGACCTACTGGAAGGATGTCCTATAAAAATAAAACCTTCATAAAAAATATTAAGTTGCCAAAAATCCCTTTGAAAAGGCAAACTTCCCTCCAGGGTTGGTCAGTGGATTCCCAGTGGTGAGTTGTCCATCTCTGAAGTGAACAGCAGGATATTCCAGCTGGAAATCTAGAGCTGACACTGAAAAAGCAACGAATATGCATCATCCTGTTATCAGCTGCCCAGAGAGACTCTGCACTCCCCATCCCTGGGAGTGTTCCAGGCCAGGTTGGATGGGGCTGGAGCAACCTGGGCTGGTGGGAGGTGTCCCTGCCCAGGGCAGGGGGTTGGGGCTGGATGATCTCTCAGCTCCATTTCAACCCCTTAACAATCTGTGACACTATGAATTGCCTAAAATCCTGAGAAAGGCCTCACAGGGATGTGACTGCTCTGAGATGCCATGGTGAGGATGAAGCTCTTGCAAAGAGCAGCCAAGGGGAAAAAAAATTTAGAATCTGCATCTTATCCTGAATTCAGAACTTGCACTTGCAAAATGATGCACAATTTTTAACTCCTTTTATCCTCCTATAAAAGCATTTGAGGTGATTTGTGGCTGCAATTAAGCATTCCCCTTAGACAGAAAAGCACTTGGAAGAAAATGAAGTATCTTTTGGTAAATGACAGTCATTTGGATTAAAAAAGAGAGAAAAAAAGCACATCATTTCAGAAAACTTAATTCCTTCTACCTCACAACTTAATTGGCTGTGAGGAATTTCTTACCTAGGCTCAAAGTGTGCAGTAAAAAGCTTCAAACCTAGAAAAACTCTATGGATTGATTTGGAAAGCTACAAGTCTCTCCTTCCCAAGGCTTTCTTCTGCCTTCTTGGTACCAGGTGTCTCCTACAATATTGTTACCAGGAGCTGAAGATATGTCAGTGCAAGTGCAGAACATCACCCACTCCTTTGCTTAATGATGATGATAATATCACCTGAAATTCCCTCCTCAAACAGGTGAATGACAGCAAAAAGGGAAATATTCCAAGGGCTTATTAAGAATTTCTTTCCAGCATTCAGCCCAAATTTACATCTCAGCTTCTTTCATTTTTGCATGATCCTAAACTGTTCTTTTCCCTCTTAGTCATAAAACATCCAAGGACCTGGAATGAATCTTGTGGTGAGCAAGGAAATAGTAAGGAAACATCAGAAATCCTTTCAATTGGCTCCTGGTTGCCAAGAGAATGGAAAATTCCAAACTGCTTGTTCAGACTTCAGGAAATTAGGGATAAAACACCCAAGGCTATAGGTTCTGGGACTAAGATAAACACCTTGAAGATCCCAAAGTGTCCTTTACCCATCCAGAAAGCCTTGGGAGAGGGTCAACAGATACCAGAGTCATAGAAAGATTTGGGTTGGAAAGACCTTCAAGATCATCTCATTCTGTTTTTTTAAAACAGTAGCTAAAAACACCCAAGCTTTAAAGAATTGATTTCTGTGTTGCAGTTGCTCATCCATGAGATTGAGGTAAGAAATATCTCCTCTGAGGTACTGCAAACACCGCAGACCCCCTGGAAAAAAATTAAGACTGCAATTTACTGCTCACCTATCACCTAAAGGACACAAATGGAACTAGCTCAGGACAGACCAGGTGCAATTTCTGCTGATGTCTACAGAGGGGAATATTGGCTCATATTTGGACCACAAGAGGCAGAATTAATTAGATCTAGAGATTCCTAATGTGTATAAATGTGTCTCTCTTGCTCTGCAGCTCAGGAGCCTCTCACAGGCTTCCCAAAAATTCCCAAAAAATTGGAGGTTTCTGCTGTGGTGGTTGGACTAGTGCTCACATCTCACGATCTCCATCCTCTCCTCTTGCAGAGCATGAAGGAGCTTTAGGGATCAGCAGCATTTCCAGCCCCTGCCAAAGCTCAGCTCACACCAACAAACCTCACACCAAGTAGGATTTTTCCAAGGATGGTAACTCTGAGTGAGAAGCAGCCTGGAGTTTTGGGACCCTCTCAGAGGAAATGAGTTTCAAAAGGAATAAAATGGCACAACTTGGAGTCCTTGCTGTGAAATCTGCTCTGCAAGTTCCCACCTGGAGTGTGCACACAGCTCTGGTGTCCCCAACTGCACAAGGACATGGAACTGTTGGGGCAAGGCCAGAGGAGGCCACAGAGCTGAGCAGAGACTGGAGCACCTTCCCTACGAGGACAGGCTGAGAGAGTTGGGGCTGCTCAGCCTGGAGAAGAGAAGGTTGTGTGGAGAGCTCAGAGCAACCTGCCAGGAGCTGAAGGGGCTCCAGGGAAGCTGCAGAGGGATCTGTGTTAGGAGCTGCAGGTCAGGAACAAGTAGCAACGGGGAGAAATGGAAGGAGGGAAACTGAAATCTTAGGCAGAAGGTTTTGCTGTGAGGGTGCTGAGGCACTGCACAGGTTGCCCAGAGCAGCTGTGGCTGCCCCAATCCTCAAGCTGTTCCAGGACAGTTTGGATGAGGCTTGGAGCAGCCTGGGCTGGTGAAAAGCTCCCTGTCCATGGGGTTGGAATAGGCTGATCTTTAAGTTCCCTTCCAACCCAACCCATCCTGTGATTCCCTGACTGGTGTTAGCCTTTCACCCCCTACAGCAGATGAATTGAGCTCCACATCCTCGCAGAGATCTCTTAGATCAAACCTGATCAAACTGGAGCTTTGTTCAGACCCTGAAGACCCTCCAGAGCAGACTTGTTAAGAGAAAGGTTTCCACCCCATGGCACTGAGACAAAAACCTCTGCAGCTATCCCTGGTGAGCAGGGGCTGGTGTTTGCTCCCCTGCATGAGTTGCATCCTGGCAGAGCTGTGTGTGCTCACAGAGCTCTATACACCAGCAGGTACCACAGTGCCCTACCAGCCTGACCTACAGAGATGCTTTTGAGAGCCAACTTCCCCCTTTATTCTGCTCACCCCCTACAGACTCCTAACTATGCCACGAGGCCTCAGAGTTCATTTGGAGAAAAAATATAAAGCAGCTTTATTCCCTCTATGCTGTGAAGCTCCTTTTCATCCTCTAGAGCAGCTACAGGTTCTTTACACTCTAAACCTGTGCAAAAAAAAAAAACCACCTGTGGGCAAATGGGTTTGTCTCTTCCTGATTTACTGAGGAGTTTTTGGGGTTGTTGAGGTGTAGAGAGACTGAATTTCCCCATTATTGCAATTAGCAGTGAATGTTTGCAAAGCAAGAGATGCTTGAAAGTGCAGGAGGGGATGGATCACTACTGAAGATATCTCAACTGGGCACATCCAGGGAACAGGAGATGTGACATGCTGCACCTCCAGTGATGGGGAGAGCTGAGTTGTGATGTGATGTTTGTGTTCAGGTTGGGCTGAGCTCTTGGTTGCTGTTGAAATGAACTTTATTCCAGTGCTGGCACCTGATCTTTTAGGAAATACAGAACAGCCTCCAAGTTTCACTGAGTGAATGCACTGAGGGGGAAAGCTAAAGTAGAGCTGAGTAATTCTCACCTGAATTTCTAATGTCTAAACATCACTGCAAATCCATGAGACTGAGGCTTGTGGAGGGAAACAGGATGTTCTCTCCTAAGATAATCAACAGAGGTATCCCGGGGATGTAACCAGGTGGGACTGGGTTTTTCTCCCAGGGAACAAGTGACAGGATAAGAGGAAACACCTCAAGTTGTGCCAGGTGAGGTTTAGATTGGATATTATGGAAAATTTCCTGGAAAGGGTCACATCCCTGGAGAGATCTAACAGCCATGTGGATGTGGCACTTGGGGACATGGTCAATGTGGCCTTGGCACTGCTGAGACTTGATGGTCTCAGAGAGCTTTTCCAAACTAAAGGATTCTGAGATGTGCAGCTCAGCAGCCACAGCAACACACTTCACCCTCAGCCCCAAGCACAGCTTTGATGAGCTACTTCATCACTGGACACCGAATCTAAAACAAAGTCATAATACAAATAGAATAGAAAATCAATTATGTATGTTTTAATTTACACAGAGCAGAGCAGTCCCAGCTCCTAGAGTAGCCACTCCCTTGCTCTTCCCAAATCTCTCCCCTCCCAGCCCTGGAAGGAGAAGTCTCCAGCCCAACCCTGGGCTGAGGCTGAGCCAGGCCTGGCAGGTGCCTCGTGGTGACAAGATTGCTTGGTGATGGAGATGATAATCCAAAATGACCACGAACTAAATTACCCTCTGTCAATCCATTTGTAATTTAAATCCAATCCTCCACGAGATAAATGTGCTAACCACAGTCAATCAATCTCTCTGTAGACCTTCTCTGATGTGCTTATCCCACGTGAACCCAGGGCACGTGTGCTCTGAGAGGCACTTTCTGCCCACGAGAGGAAGCCAAACCTGTAGGATATCACCACTTCCCTGCTCCTAACTCAGTATAAAATCACCACAGTGCTTCATTTCCCACAGCACTACAACAGGTAACACATTTCTCTCCTTCTCTGCTTGGTACAGTGAAGACAGAAAAGACATTTTGCCTTGCTGGAAAAGCATCACCATTTGAAACTATCCTGACAGCCAATTCCAAGTGAATTCCTGCCCATGGCACAAGGATACTGTGGAGTTTCATTGAATGCATGCAGAACTTTCTGCCCACAAGATGAAGCCAAACCTGCAGGACTTTACCACTTCTCTGCTCCTAACTCACTATAAAATCACATCAGTGCTTTATTTCCCATGTATTAC